GCATGAACCACGGTCGAGGTTGCGGTAGCTCCTGCCTTGGAGCCAAACAAGCGTCAGGGTCATCAGGGTCTCGACAAAGGCAGGAACAAAACTCTGCGACTCGCTCCGAGATGTTTCACCTCCTACGCTCACCACCTTCGTTCTCACCCATTCGCATTGTTTCCATCTTCTTTTTTGTAGCCAGATCGTTCGAGTGGACACCTCAGAACGTCTCGAATGGCACTAGAACACGCACCCTTGGTTTACTGGCAAAATGGTACCAGTCGCATTCATGCACCGTCCTGCTTGCATCGACCTTCGGTCGCATGTCGATAAGGGATATGTTCTTAGCTGCTACAAGTACCACCGAACAGGCTACCACGATCGTCAAAAGGAAGTACACTCTTGACTCTTTATCAATGCGAGCGACTGCGCTTTCACGAGAACGACAACCCGCGACTGTTGAACCCTTGGCTACACTCCCATACTTGCCGGCATCCAGGGGCTCCGCGGGGTCGAGGAGATTTGATGCCTCAGGTCTTGTTGTTTCCGAAACATGATTATGCCGTCACGTCGAGGATCTCAATCTCACCCATCGCAACCTCAAAGGGTCCATCGCCGCCGCGAACGTGGCATCGAACTAGAGGAACGACAGTACAATCATTTGTCCTAGGCTCAGCCACTTGGACGCCAGTCGTCGCGTCCGCCCAGGAGCACAACTTGGCGCAGTCACGCTACGCCTTCGGATGGCCACGATTCCGGCGTTAGGCAAAAGCAAAGAAAGGCACCAAGGACACCAGCACTGGCGTCGCGGCATGTGTCGAGCTCTGGCTTGGTGATTCGAAGCCATGTACGGCTTGCGACGGTGAGAAGCTGATGAAGTTCAGATTTCCTGCCCCCACCAGCACCGCACCTGCATGGAGCTGACAGTTGCCGGCGACCAAGCTGCAAGCCTATAATTAGGCTGATCCACAGCGGGCGCCAACCGCCCTACAGGGCCGCAATGATGAAAGCGATCGAAAGCAGACCGCATTGTCAAGCAAACCGCGCTCGCAAGTCATTGATCGCATCAATAGCAGCAGGGTAGCAGAAAAAGAAGATTACTCGTGCACCTTGGGTGTTTCTGACATCACATGCACGTGCATGACGCGTTTCGTCACGGCGATCTTGGGCTGACGACCCGGCCACGGCTCAGCGCCTGCAAACCTACTTACACAAGCAGGGGTACCGTCAGCAACGTCCTTATTACTACCCACCTTTGCCGTCGTGGCGCAGCCTCTTCTCTCAAATCGCATCCTCGAGCAATTGACGCAGAAACCTCACTCTTACATCGGCCCTACTCGACACTGATCGCCCACCATGAATATGATGCGCAAGAAGACGCAGTATGTGCAAATCACACCAATACCGTCGTTCATACCACGCCAGCTCGCAATCGACTTCCTCCACAGCCACGGCGAGATCATCGAGCTGAACCCCCTCGTCACCGGCCACGAGCCCATCAAAGCACCGCGCGACGCTCCCGCAGACGAATACTACTCAACATGGTACGAAATATCGCAGCGCATACAGTACATACCCGGCATTGGCAAGATGGGGAGCGGCGCAATCAAGTTCCGCGGTGTCTTCCACGACCTGCCGTTCGGGCTTCAGACACACACCTACGCGCCTGCGAACGTCGACCTGCGCCAGAAGTGGCATATTGGCGGCAACCAGATTGGTGAGCCACCTGAGCCGAAAGAGCTGGGCTCTTCTGCGCCACCGGAGGGCCTCTACATTCGCCAGGATGTAGAGATCAAATGCAACGTCGCCATGATGAACTTTGTCAAGAAGGAAATGAAAGCAGCTTGCACCATCATGATCGAGCGGTTGGTCAAGAAGGCGGAGCTGCTCGACTCGGGCGCCCTCCAAGCGATGATGGAGAATGGACGGATGAAGACGGTCAACCCAGCTGATCGCTCGACCTACGGTCACACGCCACCACAACCATCGCCGACCCAACCCTACCAGATGCCCATGTCACCGCATAGGCAAAGCCAACAATGGGCGCAGCCCGCGCAGCAGCCCGGTCCTCCCGTACCACCTAAGCAACTTCTAGGCACAAACGACGTGGTGATGGAGTTGCCAGGCGACTTCTACCACCCTCAGCCCTCCCCATCCCACCTCTCCCCTCACGATAACCGCGCTTCCTCTGCCTCCGAGCCATCGCAATACTCGCCAAACCCGCAAGATGCGCGCTGGTCGACAGCATCGCATAGCACCGCGAGTTCACGCCCTAGCTCGTATGCGCCGTCAGAGGGCATGAAATCGCCAGGGCTAGAACAAAAGGCATTCGCGGCCGAGCTGCCAACGATGGAGGAGACAAAGGAAGAGCATAGCGCTCACCAGAGGCGGCCAAGTGGCCAGCAGGGCCAACAGGCATATGCATACAACCCACAGGACTATGCGCGGGCGCCGGGGCAACAGCAGTATGCCAACCCGCCCTACCCAGTGTATGGGCCACGGTAATTGACGAATATGTCACACTTTGATGTTTCTTGGACGTACACGCGTAGTAATGTTTTTGAGATTATGTGTCCGTAAAGCAGGGCGGCTGTTTGTCTACCTCTTTATCACGATTTACGACTTTTTGCGAAATGCTTTTCAGATATCCCCTTCCGTTGAGTAATGCAATCATACTATTTCCATGTTGACAGGCTTGTTATTAAGGATCAACTGATCAGTGCTCTGTGGCGTCTCGGTGTCCAGGGTATTAATTCTTGACCACACGCCAATCGCCAGAACGCCCGCAGATACAGATCGATGCTGAACACTTCCGCCATCTTCTCGCCATTTGTGATACTTCACTATACTTGCGTTGGGATTGGGATGGTGATTTGACTGAGGTGTATTACCTCGTGATTGAGATGTTGAATGATATCTCGTTGTAATTCATACCCGGCAGACAGTGCGTGGTGCTATGTGGCTATGATTAGTGCTGACCTGAACCCTCAGAGTTCTGATTGTACGTTGCTCTTAATCTCTCTCCTGGCGTTCACCCATACTTAGAAGTACTCCCCGACTTGGAGTTTATGCTTCATACTCGCTTGCTCATATCGACTCGCTTCCGCGCTACTTCAATTGCAGCTGTTTCAATGTAGATACCGTTCGATACAAATCACACTAGACTCCGACTTTACGTCAAGTACCCCCCAACGACATCGCTATCTACCCCGCAGATTCCCCCGTCATAATTACCAGCTATTATCAGAGAAGTGACCAGTGACCGAGAAGGTGCCGCGACACGCAACTATGACTAATCTCCAAAGACGGAATACAACGTAGACTCCCGTTCGTTTGTTAAGAAAGCAGAAAACGACTGAAATGCCAGTGTAGATTGCAGAATGAGGTTCAGTGTCTCTCTAACTCTCTAGTATGTTTCTAGCCATAGCTTGGGTGAAGCTTAGGTCCTGCAATGCATGTACCTGCCTGATGCGAAAAGGTCGGTCGTGTCACCCCTTCCAGCGCTTCGCAGTACATATCCACACCAGTTGGCTCTAGCGGTATTAAAGCATAGCTTATACGTGATACAAAAACCATAATGTAATGAGCCTGACGTCACAACATAACAAAAGACCCTCACTATTACGCTGCGTGCAAAGGCCTGCTTTCTTGGTTCGTGGCGGGATGCCCTCGCACTTGCAGAGGAGATACCTATAGTCACAGCTCACCGGGTGGAGGCTTGCGACGTCTAGGTTCCCGATCGTTAAGGGCTTGGTTTCGAATCTGCCTTGAACCGTGGCCGTGCAGCCCTCGTCCGCTCGTGCGGTAAGCTGATGCTTTGCGCGTAGAGTCAAATCAAGTCAACACAGGTAGCGAGAGGAAAGGTGGGAGAGGGAGGCGGGGCTAAAATATACAGAGGGATGCGCTAGTAGCCGCTAGCGCAGGCGCTCACTCAGCAGGCACGTGAGTGTAGTCCTCAGTCACCGACGCGTCTCCGTCTTCACTGCACCTTTCCTGAAGTAGTCGCGATATCCGCGCCCCTGCGAACACCGCAACCATTTTGGAGGACGCCAATGCGTAGGCATGGAGCCGAATCGTGTCGATACCGATAGGATGGACGACGATGGGGAAGAGACTGCTGTTCATGTGAGTCTTTCACCGACACCTCGTCATACCACAACAACAACACTGACCAAAACATAGCAGCAACACATCCAACCCACCTTCTCTGGTCATGCGAGCCTCCAGGATCCCGAGCGCACTATCAGTCTCGCATTTCGTCCCGCATATCACGAGGCTGGTGTGAATCAGGTGAACGACTGGTTGAATGCAATCAGCAGCGCCAGCAACGATCCATACTTAACAGCCGAGCCTTTCCCTGTTCCACAATACTCTGCTACACCATCCATGTTCCAACCAGATTCTTCAACTCCCGCACCCGGTTGCGAACGCATCACCAAGGAGGCGTTTGAGCTTATCTTGGAGCAGAATACAAGATTGAGGCAGGAGCTGGAAACGGCAAACAAGGCTCGCGCGAAGGCGGAAAAGACATGCTCCGATCTGGCGGCTTGGACTTTGTGGGAGCGAGAAAGGTTGATGCGCGAGATGGAGGAGGCCAGAGCGATACATCGTGCTTTCATTCAGGATGAGGTCGACAAGCTCATCGCCGAAGAGACAGGCCGTCTGACTATGGATCAGTAAGGGGATGACGGTTGTGCTCGAAGTTGGTGTATTGTGGCTGGCATCCGCGAAGTACCTATGAGTTATGTTATCGACGTGTGTATGCCATATGGCCTGCCATAGATCGTTCCTTTCCCCAAATATATGCGGTGACGGCATGTAGGCTATAGCTCAACGATGTGTTTTGTTCCGTTGACACGCGGAGTAAGGTGAAAACTTCCTCGCTGCTTCCCAATTCGGACTCACGGTGAGATGACTTGCGCTATCGCCGCCCTCTAGCGCCGTCGTAGAAAGCCCTATGCTGGCAACATATTGCCAAATATCTCTTCAACTCCATTACCATTGGCCGCATACACGACATGGCGGAATTCTTCTTGAAGCGAATGTTGTTTGCGAGGTTGCGAGCCACACGCACGGCCGCTGGAGCCCGGCCGGTCCCACGATATCAGCCAGAAACTGAGCACGAGGCGTCCCACGAAAATGAGACGGAAGACGCGACCACACCAGAGAACGAAGATCCCGAAGTCGAGGCTGACGACGGTGCTGAGCCTTTGCCAGCAGCGGAAGATGCTGAACACGACGCGGAGACGCTACAAAATCCCTCGGGAGACCGCGACGTCCGCGCAACATGGACTGCTATCATCAACAACCTCTGGAGACGCGCCGCCGACAACGCTACCATTCTGGCCGCGCAAGCGAGAGACGCTGCACTCGATGCTGTCGAGAAGGTGAAGGAGCTTGGATTCATTGGCACAGCAAAGGCAATCGGCCACTGGATGAGAATGAATCCATGGAAGACGGCGTTGATCGTGGTGCCTCTCGTTGCGCTTGCACTTACGGCGATAGCGCTCTCGGCCACAGGCTTTGGACCAGCTGGAATCGTCGCAGGTATGTGATTTCGGAGAAGAGATCGTGAAAGGCGCATGCTGACTTCTCTCAGGTAGCGCAGCCGCGGCCATGCATGCGGGTATTGGCAGCGCTGTCGCGGGTTCGGTTTTCGCAACGTGCACCAGTGCGATGATGGGCGGGTACGGCGCAGTAATCATATTCGGAGGTGTCTGGGCCATGTCGACTGTGTCGGTAATCTTGTTCGCGGCTGTGCAAAAACATCGGGAGAGTCGCCATGAACGCGCTCTGGTACCACGAAATAAACCTACACCAAAGTCTGCATCCGAGATCGCGAAGCAAGCCGCGTCCGATGCCGTCTTCTGGGGCATGGTGGCCGCAGCCTACGTGGTATATAGGTTTAAGAGCTGGTACCGTGGACATGGAGAGGGGACTGAAGAGGTGAACGAATGACTTCGCAAGGCCTTGAACCACTCTTCGTGGCATTTTGCATTTGCCAGACACCAGAGGTTGCAGGATGTCGTGGTGAACAAGCGTTTGATAGAGAAGCAGGGCTGAGGGCGTGAAAGACCGAAAACATGTATCCAGTGACTGTGGAGTAGAAAGCGTAAACTAGAACATGAGATTCGATAATAGCCTGGTCAAGGATAATTCTGCGTCAATGCTGGAAACGATTAGGTTCTCAAAAGCCTCGTTACGTAGGAGATACCTTGTGCTGCAACAACTACTGTGCGAAGCTCGCAAAAGGACACGTCAACCCTCTTTCTGACCTGTATACACATCCCTATGTCCAGGTCAACGCATTTTACGCTTTCCGAGAACATAGTAACTCTTCATCCCTGATGCTTGCGCGTACACAATCGCGAGTCTGTACCCCGTTCGTGAACGGAATCGCTGGTGCGGTCTTTCCATGAGCGCGAAACGATGGAAAGGAAGCCTGGGTGGCACAGAGTTACGAGAATGGTAGTGAGGAGTTCAGGAGTCGTCCGAGCTGAGATGGGGTGACCCACTAGCGCTGACTAACGATGATGCATGCCAAGATCGGCGGCGGCCCGGCAAGCCTCACCTCCTTCCTCGCCAGCAACAGACGCGTCCATCATGCCACCAGATCGTTCACGCACCACCAACTCACAAGGTAGGCAGAAGTCATGCTCAGAGTGCGCAAAGGCAAAACGAAGATGCGGTCTCGAGCAGCCTCATTGCGCACGATGCGCTAGACAGCACTTGCCATGCGTCTACCCTCCACAGCCTCGGTCGCAGGCCGCGATCCCGCAAAACGACACATCTGCAACACCTACTGACTTGTGCCCATTCAATGCGCCAATGGATATGCCGGAGAATGATGATGGCGGTCTTGCTTTCGACTTCGACCTACCTGGCATGCCAGCCACCCCCACCGCAGACATCTTAGATTTCGACTTCTGCACCGCAACAGACTCTCTCGACGCGCTTACGGACATGCTCAACACACCAGCTCATCAGGAAGATCAAATGACTTTACAAAAGTCTCATACCCCAGTGAGCCAGCCCTTCTCAGCAAGACACCTGTCACCGTTCGCAAAGTCCAGAGTGGAGTACTCAATCGAGCTCGTCAAACTCGCGCCAAAGATGATGGTAGAGCAATGTTGCACACCATGGGCTCACCCTTTGCTTTACGAAGACCACATGCCAAGATCACTACAAGACGCACACGCTGCATGTGCTCTTTACGTTACCATGAACGACAACAATGCTGAGCACGTCGCACGATTCATCACAAGTCGCGCAGAAGAGCTCATAACCACCTCTATACCGACTACACCCATGGAGGTTCTAGCTCGCACACAGGCTCTGATGTTGTATGAGATCATGCTCATTTTTGGCGGTGACATACGACTATACGCTCGAGCCGACGCCCTGATACCGCATCTTGAAGATGTGGGTGTTGTCCTTCTACCCATCGCAGCAGAGGACCCCGAGCTGCCTGCCACCCTTCCACTTTATCCCAGTACAGCCGCTCGCTCAGCGTGGAAATCATACATCTTCCGCGAGTCAGCCAGACGCACGGCCTTAGTAGCTTTCCACATAACCGTCATATACACCCTGCTGAGCGGGCAGATGAGGTCTTGCGCGAAAGAGCTTTCTTTGAAGAACCGCGTCACGCTTTCCGCGCACTTATGGAAGGCAACGAGCGCTTTTGACTTTGCCATGGCATGGAACAGCAAGAGTCACTTTGTTATCAAAGAGCTGGACTTCACGGATGTCTTGAGAGGTGCGCAGCCGGATGACCTTGATGCCTTTGCTAACATGATGCTCATTGGTCTTCAAGGCATCGATGACATACGGGGCTGGTATCATACACGAGGTGGGGCTCTCACATAGCCTCTTCCAGTCAATGCCAGCGCACCAAAATTGACTGACCTCACTGTCATCCAATATCAACCATCGGCTCATACAAGCCAAGCTCCCGGTATCTGACAGCTGCAAATGAGCAAAGCTACCTAGTTCTTATCGTCACCTAGGCCGTCCATAGAAGTACCCGGCACCGGTGTCTTTTGACAGTCAGCGAAGCCCAAGAAAAGCACAATATACAACGACTTACCTCGGGGAAGTTCCACCACCGATCTACGTTGTCGAGGAACTCTTCTCCCTTCTGTTTGCCATACTTAATGATCCAAGCCTTCTCAAAGTTCGAAAGCGGGTGATGGCGCCAGGGACACTTGACACCCATCTCACAGCGCTTCTTCGTAAGGTATGTAGTGAAGCAAAGTCCCAGATCGTGGCGCTGCTCGGAGCCGTACATGCCCGGTGCGATCTTGCCGTTGGCGCCGTTGATAAAGCGCTGAGCCTTGGGCTTGCTCGCGTACATGGTGAAGATACGGTAATCGTAGCCGCGGAGATCGTGCACGGTCGGTGGAAACTCTGCTGTATCGGCGTTTTGGAGGTGCGGCAGGCCCAACTTGGGCTCTTTGGCTGACTTTGCTGTACTGGGCGTTTGGCTGGATCTGCGGTGCACCGACTGAATTGGCGCATGCTGAACGGTCGGAGTATGCGCTTCTGGACCTTCGTAATGGCGGTAAGGCTCCTCATGCCTCGGATACTCAGGCTGTGGCATCTTCCGACCTGTACTCATTCTTACCGCGGGAGCAACATGGGCCGTCTCTAAAGCGTCGTCGTCCCAGTCCACTTCGTCCTCGACGAAGTACTCTGAACGCGAAGGCGCCTCATCGAAGTGCTCCTGATGGTGTTGCTGCGCATCTTGATCTTGGCCGTACGCTTGCTGGATGTGAGCTTCCAGTCGGCTGGTATCTCTCGTGCGACTAATTCGGAAGGCAGCATCTTGTCTCGGCGACCAATGCCTATCGTCATCGCGGCCACCGTATCGGCCGGCCATAGCTTTCGCCCCATCCGCAGCCACCTCAGCGTCAGTCTTGATCTGGCCAACTCGAACCTTGCAAGCACGAGCAATATGTCCCTGCTCTCCACATCGAAAGCAACCCTTCTTATCAGTGAAGGCGGCTTTGCAATCAGCAACCCTATGCCCTTGATAGTCTTAGCAGAGAAGAGTTGGGAATCTGCAAGTATACAACCAACCTTTCTTGTTACAAGCAAAGCACCGCTGGTACTCTGCCTTCTCCGGCTTCCGGTCCTCTCGCTGCGGCTCCACATCGACTGGCTCCCGACGCAGCGGTGACCGCTCTCGATACCGTGCCCGCTCACCACGCCAATCTTTCTCATCTCGCGGATCTTGACGCCGGGCAGGCGAACGACTACGGTCACGATCTCGCTGTCTCACTCGCAGTTCTTCTTCCGCCCGTGCGTAATCTCGTTTTCGCACAGCTAGCTGCGGACGGCGTCGACCTTGCATTCTCTCGCTGTCCACATCGTCGGAACTTCGACCCACGTTCTCGCGTTCCCTGGGTCCACGCGGTGGGGGCTCGGACGGAGGCGGTGGAGGGTTGTTTGGACCGTACGGACCTGGTTGTGCTGCTGGCCGGTCGAACATGTTGGGTTTCCGTGACATGTCTGCGAGAGTCAGTGTCGATGGTATGTCAGGTTAGCCAAGATCAATCCAGAGGTATCAAGCTGGTTTATTGTGGATGAAGTGGAGCTTCTGTCAGGTGGGAGTAGCAAGTCTACGTGACCGTGTATTGACGCACGGGCCATGAGCGCAGTCACGCAGCGTAGTAACGACCAGCTTGCCGGCCCGTGTTGTACTCCAAGTCGTCCATCTTCAATCAACATCCTCCAATTGGTACGTTGTGTCTCCTCGCCGTGCTCATGTTATGAATTTCGTGTATTAATGGTATCTCCTAGTGTTCTCGCTGTAATGTCGCCCAACGGTCTCGGAGGTCGTCCGCCCACCCAGTTTCTACCCCCCGCTGGTGCCTACTACGATCAATTCGACATCATTGAAATCTTCGGCCCAGACGTACCTAGGAAGGGTCTTTGTAGTCACTGTCTACAGCCTGGATGCAGATGCGTCGGAGATCCCACCGGGTGCACGAACGCGTGTGGTATGTGCGGCTGTAAAGACCAGCACGCGAAGGGGGTAAGATGTTCTTCCTACCATCAATATCTCGTGACTGACTTAACATAGTTATGCTCTATGGCTTACTGCTCATTGAAGTGGCGCAAAGAGCACGGATGTATGCCTCAGCCCAATGAGATGGTCGCGCTCCGTCCCGGTATGAACCAGGTCGCAGATCTTCAGAGCCTTGGGATCGTACAGGCTATGTCTCATGTCTCTATGGACGTCTTGCCGAACATGGAGAATTCTGATGTCAAGGAGTACTATGCTGGTCATACGGTACAGCACAGCCATCGCATTCGAGTCCTTACGCCCATAGTCTGGATCAACGAGAGCGGAAAGAAGAGCGCAGCTGCTTCTATCAAGTTCAACTCCGGTCAAGCTGCAGCAGCTTCTAGCAAAGTCTCCTCCGCTGCCGACCACCGTATGACAAACTCCCAGGTTCACGATCTACCCTTCATCGATCCCCAACTCGCGAGAGCAATCCGCCAAGTCACCGAGGAGCCTTCTTCCCATCCGCCAATGGCGATCCCAGGTCTTTGGCTCCAGCCACAAGCCCCACCAGACAACAGCATGCAGCTCCAGATCATTCCTCCTGCCAATACCATCGTCATCCCCGCATCCGGATCCGCACCTCACGTCACGCAAGAGCACGTTATGTCTCCGATAGCAAACCTACAACTATACTACGAGAAGCTACTCCACGAGCGCGACGAGCGAGAGCTTCAACATATCGCCGAGAGCAAGGACAAGGACAGGATGATCAGGACGCTCAAGGCCCAGCTTGGATGGCCTTTGGACTAGACACAATAGTCGGAGATGATGAACACGTTGCCGCATTGATGGAATGTTTGAACTAGATACTGGTAGACTAGTCAGGCATCGAGCGACACGACACTTGATGGTGTACTGGGCTTCATATGAGAGCATGATGAGAAACAGCAGAGCTTTGGTATTTTCGGATTCACGGGCTAAACACCCTAGAGTCTACGTTAACGTGAGGTTACCTATTTTGCAAGTTCTTGTCTTGATGTAGTCTATAGACGTGTCTAAATTCTTCTTGTATGAGCTGAGACATTAGTGCCCATGATGAAGGAGTGCCTTTGCATGCCCAGGTGATGTCACGGCCACGTGCTTCCGGGTCACAGTCGTGCCTACTCGTTTAGGTACGTAGGTGAGAGCAACACGCTAAGCCGAGACGCGTCGCTGTCAACAAACAGCCAAACACTCGACTTACCCATCCACAGACATCACCCACCACGACACATCACGATGGCCAATCTCTACTTGATGCAGGCCTTGTACGCCCCGAAGCCGCCTCCGCCCACGCCTAGTCCTGGTGTTTCCGCGCTCGACGACGACAGCGTGCAGGGACGACAAAGGCAGTCTGTCATGCCCGAGCGCCTCAGCATGATGGAAGTCGAAGGTAAGAACCAAAAAAAAAAACTGTTTTCAACCCTATTGACCCATAGCAGAACCACCTGAGCCCGAATCAGAGGCCGCTTCGCGCTGGAAACCGACTGGTGCCAATGTTCAGCCAGTCGGCATCAAGAGCGAGTTTCCGAGCTCCGACGCTGCGGACAGATTTTTGGAATCGCTCCCGTCTTTTCCTGGCAACATTGCTATTACGCCTTCTCCGCCCTCGTCGATGACGCTTCCTGCTGGCCTTACGTACCCAATCGAGCGATACTTACCACCTGCGGGACCATATTACGACCAGAACGCTCTCCTTCCCGTCTTTGGACCGGTATTCTTCAAATACAAACCTTGTATGATCTGTTGGACCTGTCACCCCGCTGCAGGCTATTCGACCACGTCTTGCGGGAAGGTATGCAAGGTCTGCGGAACCCGCCGCCACCCAGACGAGGTAAGACCTACCGCAAATGCGCAGTAGCACTGCTGACATAGGTGCTAGAGCTGTTCCCTGTTCTATTGTAATAGAGACTGGTATCGCCAGCAGGAGATTCCATGCGGTCCAGAAACCGTTCGAGATCGACAAATCCGTCCCGACAAACAAGAGCTCGCTGTCCTCTCTCGTATCGGTGTCATGTATAATGCACGCGGTCCAAACAACACTATTCTTGTAAACCCAAAGCATCCGATCGTTCAGGACTTCTACAAAGACAAGCCAAGGTCGAAGGCATTGATGCGGAAGATATTCGAGGCGGACCCAAGGCATCGCTCGACGTGCATTCCATCGCGCAGTGGGCCAACGCTTGTGGCAAATGCCCCTGCACAGCAACCGCTTCCGCCGCTGATGAGCCCATACACCATACCGATAAGATCCGTGGACAACAGCCTCGACCCGCGTCTCCAGGGTCGCACCTCCTATGGCGCGCCCGGCCAACTGGCGGTCCCGCAGCCCGATACCGCCAGCAACAGCAGCGAAACCCCGACTGACCCAGAAGACATCGAAAAGAAGCTTCAGGACCAGGAGGTCGAGAATCTGAACTTGAGAATGCAGGCGGTTGTGAAGGATCGTGAGATTCGGAAGCTCAGGGCGGAGATCGAGCAGCTGCGCGCTCAAGTTGCTGGCACTGGTGGCGCATACTAGACCATTAGCGGGTAGCCTTTTCGTAGGCTACGGTGTGCAGCTGGGTTGGCGATGATCGTGGAAGGATGTGCGTGTATGTATGGGAAGACATATGTACCAAGTCCCTGGAGACTACATGAGTATGAAAATGAAAGTTTGCAATATTTCAAAGCAACGTAGACTTCTGGGTGACTTTGTTGATATTGAACGTGCTGTCGTCGTGAGGCGGGTCGGGGTGGACGCGTAGCGAAAGTGGAGGTGGGATGACTAATCTAGCGGCAAACCTCCATCCCCGATCTTCCGACGACGCGTCTTCGTTACTCTTTCCACACGCTCGTCCCGTCGTGCATCGCAACGCATCACAGCAGCCACGCGCCATCACAACCACACACGTCAATGACATTCCAATATACCGTCGCAGCAACAGACTTTACATCGACGAGAATAATCACATGAACTTCGAAAGAGCTAGTGGCAGGTGGTCATTCACAATTATCGCAATCACGGGTTGGTCTGCGCATCAAGCCTGCGCAGGCGGCGTGAATGTCTCGACCGTCGCCTAAACTGCCAAAGGCCCACACACCCCGCAAATTACGATACACTCACGTTATATTGCTTACTCTTCTAGAGTTGTCCATCGTGTGACACAGGACATGTAACACCTTCTGGGACTGGCCCCTCGGGGCTTTACCAGCTTGCTCCAACGGATCCGTAGCCGGGTGAGTGACCATTAACGAGGTCGCTCACGTGGGCGAGCATCTATCAGCGCACGATTTCTTCTTTTTGCCCTTTCTTTTTTGCTTTTCTTAGCGCAGTCACCTTCACTGCGACCTTTTGCACGTCATTTTCACGCGTGCAGGCTTACAACTCTGTAGCGTCTCTCTTCGTCGTCAAGTAATTTCGCAACTTCCCCGCGCTATACGCGTTAATCTCTGTTGTACTGTATTAATTGCTACGACACGCAGATACTTGTTTCAGAGTAGAGCAGTTCTAGCAGAGGTATCATACTCGTATACCTTAATTAGTGTGCATGTGGCGTGTGTGTAGAGTAGAGCTACAGTAGATGTTTGATTCTGCTCTAAAGGTATTGTAGCGAGAATCAACGCTGCGGATATCTGACTTACGAAAGCGACGGCACATCGCCTCAAGTACCACTTATCCCTCCGATCCATCGCCGCAATCGACCACTCCTCATGTCCTGGGCCGCTTCGCGCCCGTGGAACCGGCGCCACCAATCAACTCCGCAATGCGAGCATCTTTCGCAATAAGCTCAATGCGAGCTTGCTCGAGAGCTTCAGCTAGGCGCCTATTCTCGGCTTGTAAGAAGCGGATCTGCTCAGACTCATGCGCGAACTCCTGAACAGAGGTGCTCGCTTCTGCAGTGCCATCGCCAGACTCATGTGTGACTGGTTGGTCGGCGATGGAAGCGATTTCACCACCAAGTACCGCCTCCTCTTCCACCGCCACGCGTCGAGCCAAAAGGCGGGGATCGCGAGTGGGGTCTACGCTGTGGGTGGACTCCGAATTCGAAGGTCCAACACCTTCTGCGGCTTGACTGGAATGCCGCTTGGGAACGCCTGACCTTGACCGCTTCTGAAGCCCTTTTGGCTTGGGCCAGACAATTCTCGCCGGCGAATATTGTGGCATCGAGGTTTTTCGGTAAAGCTCTCGCACGAGCGGATGATTGTCCTTCAGGACAACAGGGTCGGTAAGCTTCTTGAAGCTGTGCACGACGCTGGCGGCGACAAGGTATACCAACTCCCTTACGCTGGGACGTACGCGCATTGTCTTGACCACATTGTAGCCCCGAGCCCTCCACCAAGCCATCGTCGCGTATATTTGACCACAAGTCTGTCCGGGATGGTCATTCTTCTTGCAAACCCGACACTTCTTCCTACACTTCTTGTGGGTATCTTCATGTTTGGCCCCCCAACAAACAATGCACACGCTTATCTCGCCGTTGGCGTGCACATCAAACATGGCTTCGCCGAAATGGCTCATGAGGGTATACTCGTCATAGTATGGTCCAGATGGCGGCAGGCAGTTTTCTATTGGTGCCTTCAGACCCTTCACCGGACCAATGGGCTTGAAGACATTGGGCTCCGTCTCTACTCGCACGCTGAACAGCTGTAGTTCGCGTTCGGTTGGAAGGTCGTCTGCGAATACAATGTCAGCTAGCCTGATCAAGAGAGGGAAGGCGTGTGACCCTGGCGCACACGAGGTCGTCGCGCCCCGTCATGCACCCACCGCAGGATGCTTGAAGGGTATCGCGCTTGCTCATGACGTCGAGGTCGGTCACACGAAAGTACGATGTAGACTTATACTCACACTCAACTCCACCATCTGTCCGCCTTGCTGTCTCCGAGGGTGCGTTCCGTTGTGGGTCAGGATCACTATCGCGGCGGCCATACACGGAAGTGATGTCGCGTTGTTCCGACATCGCGTCGATACTGGACGAAAGAGGTCGTGGCTTGATCGTGGAAAGATGGAGTGTGGGCGGTGTTCGACGCGAAAGGTGCGGTAGAAGATGGGTGGGAGGTGTTGGGCAATGTGCGACTATGGCGCGATATTTTCATCACGACTTAGCGTCACGCGCAGAAACTTTCGACTTGTTGCTTTCACTGTCTGATCAGATTTCAGACGATGCAGGTCAGGATGCTGGTGGCATGCTCCAACGAAGGCGCCGCACTTCTGCCACCAAGATTGGGTCGCGGCGAAAGCCTGACAAAGGCCACATCAAGGAGATCATATTGCGACGGGTGGCCTGGCAGCCACATCAAAACGAGGTTGTGTTAATCACTACATCGACGTGTATCGAACAGCTTCATGATCACTGCCGGTGGATACAACAATACCGATATGTAATCTTTCGAAAGCATCTCGGTGTTGCGACTACGAGAACGCGCGCAATGACGACCTGCCTGCCACCATCATACAGATTTCCAAGCATGGTCCCGACATCTTGTGGACACAAACGCTTCTCTTAAGACATGGCCAATATGCTATGCGCAGCAAGAATCTGGAACGCACGACATCTCTCTCAGCATTGTTCTAGCTAATGTCCGCATCTTCCCTGCGTATTGACTTCGTCCCCGCTCTGAGTACGTACCCTAAGTCACTTGCAAATGACGCGCTAACGCTATCGAAATCGGGCTAGGCCGACTGCGCGGTTTCTGCCTGGACCCTCCAACCGCTGCCTTCACTTTCTGTCTCGTCGCCTAAGCCATCCTCATCAACACGTCAATTCGACTTTTGGACGTTGGATATGGCGCCGCGCGACCAGCCAGACGGACCTCACGGGCCAGCGGCGGCCCTCAAACCGAAGCGATCGAATGACGAGGTCTTTCTCGACCAATTTGCGGACAGTCCTGGCGGAGGGACGAAGCTGTACAAATTCTTCCAATCCTACCCCGCGATTGACTACTTTCCTTCTCTACGCGAAGTAGAACGTCTCGCTCAACACAAGGTCAACGAGATATTCGGGGCTTTTGAGAACGTGCGGTACATTCTTGAGCGACACGAAGATACTGTTCGTAAGAGGTGGTGCAAGAAGAGTACCGCGAAGAAGAAGAAGCTTCTCCTCACGGCAAAGCCGGGCATGGCAAGCGAGCATCGACCTGATATTGCGGCAGAGCTTGCAGCGACCACAATTTCTGACCTTGAAGATGAGCTCTTTTTCGTTTCTGTCTGTACAGCAACAAACAGCGAAGCCTGCCTGGTGCCGTTCCTGAATCTAGAAGATCTTCTCAATCCAGGGAGCTTTCTTACATTACTCAACTCTCGCGGTCGCACCCCAATCGAGACCTTCAGTCACACGGAATTGCACCACTGTCCAAGCGCGTGGTGGCCAGACTCGGCCCTCCTCCCATATCTACAGAGATTCACGATGGTCTTCGCTGGGCGTAACACACGAAACACCTACGGTCGTATTCAGCGCTGGAGAGACTCCAATGACGCTTGGAGGTCTATCTACAAAGGCCAAGCAGTTCATCCAGGCAATGGGCTCCAGATCCTTTGTATACAGGAGATCATCTACACATTCTTGCAGCGATGCTGTCATCTCTTAGTCGGTGATCTCTTGGCTGAAGGGAAAGGACAACAGGCACAGCATCCCAACATACCGCCGACAGTCCTCGTAGTAGATGACACACTCAATTACACTAATCGGGCAGAGGTTTCACTGATGATTCCATATGGTATTCCAGGGCAATTGGACTTCGGCCGCTTACGCAGTTTGATCAGCTCCAAGGTTGGCGAGCTTGAGGACCATATCTGGGCTTTGCGAGAAGACCCTGGCTATTTCAGTGAAGTCTTCCATGACTACGAGAGGCACATTGTTGAGTACAGTGTCTTCATCGATGGTAATGGAAACGCTGCACTGAAGGAGCAGCCTGATGCCGTCCCCGGTCTTATCCTTCGCAATCTCATAACTGATCCCTATTATGCCTTGTTCTACTGGCATAGATGTTTACACCTTCTGGATCGCCTGGAGTCTACTGCAGCACGACACAGCTTCAAGTTCCCCTCGCACGAAGAACTGCCAGAAGGCTATCGCGAAGACCTTTTGAGGCTTTGGACGGTTCTCAATGCAATCCAAACCGATCTCCACGAGTGTTTCAGACAACACGTTCTAGCCACACCAACAATGAGAACCTACATTTCCAAGACAGCAGAAGACCCGGATAGTCGGAACTATGCATTCGAGTTTGAGATGTCGCAAGCAAAGGGGGATTCCGTCACCATCCGTTTCCTCGAAGTACTATCTCGAATCATCGTCCCACGCGACCCACCCGGGCATGGGTTCGTAGCAGAGTTGGACGACCTTGAGAGACTTATCATCAAGAATCCTGCCGCGAAAGGTCTTCTGTCACCGTTTGTGTGGGCTGATTTCTCCCAAATGTCTGTCTCATCCGAATGCATTCAGCGGATCCGGTTCTACCAGCCATGGTCAACGCAGCTCGAGTATGAGATGATATTCCGTAAGCTAGAATTGGGGTTGGAATTCGCTATTTTCACAGGGAGATGGAGACCTGTATCCACCATGCGAAGTTTTGAGGATGTTGCTTTGAAGCGTATGGCAGATCCTTCAGACGGGAAATTTCACTATCCGATCACTGAGAGACGTAGCTGCGCCACGACAGATGCTCTACGCCTAGCAGAAGAGAACCTTGATGACTTCTGGAAGACTGCCGACTCGTTCTGCAGGAAGTTGACGGGATCAAGCTTCCCGGATTTACTAGAGCGGGATATCAGCCACGGTCGGTCTCTACGCCGCACTGCACCGTGGACTGAGCCGTCCGCCCGAAAGGAAGACGCGAGATTCCACGAGAGCCACAGCGAGTCTTTCCACCAGTACACTTACAAACCGTTTCTCTTCGAGTCCTACCGGGGGGCGGAGGCGCTGACGTCGGTCAGAAGAAAGGTCAAGACTCGCGGCACCGTCGACTTGGCGAGGGCGGAAGGCAACGATGCTCCGGATTCTACAGACCAAACAATTCTTCCAATAAGCGTAACGGTCGACAAGCGCTCTCATCTTGTCTTCAAGACCCTCTTCTTCTCTCCTTCAGCGCGGGATGTGCCAGGTGAAGTATCATGGAAGGACTTCGTTCATGCTATGGTCCAGCGTGGCTTTGAAGCTGAGAAGCTACACGGTTCGTCATGGCGGTTCACACCAACGACCCTGGGTGCAGAGCGCGCAATCCAGTTCCATGCTCCACACGGCGCGCTCAGCAAACTACCTTTGACTTGGGCAAGGCGATATGGCAGGAGGCTCGAAAGAGAGTATGGGTGGACGGGCGAGATGTTTACTCTTACCTAGACTTGCCAGCGCGCATTGGATCGACGTCTGGCTATCTGAACGACACGCATGACTAAGCGCTGGAGCTACGTTTGGGATTTGGCATGACTGAATGGCTCAGCGAGAGATACACGCTGGAGGACATGAGATGCGATATCACGATGAGAAAAGGATGCGCTGCCGGAACGACTTCATGTACAAGAATAGCAAGAAAGGAGCTAGCATACATGCTCCACGCCAAGTAGTCAAACTCAATGGCCGTCAATACCACATGTCAGATCCGTCCTGTTCCTCCCACTTCCTGTCATCCCAGGAGCTACATGCTTACTTCAGCTTGACGCTATGTATCCACAGTCCCATAACATCCTTCCTTCAAACTCCACTCAGCAGGCAAAGAGCAGGTCTCGTTTCAAACCAACGCTTTGACAAAAACCTTGCTCTCTCGTCTTCCCCCTTCACATGCCCGGCTCATAATGATCACCACCAGTCGACACCTTCCCGCGGCGCTCCCCTTGGCGAATCCTGGTAAGTACACGTCTTCTGTATCTCGGTTTCATCCGATTGTAGATAGCCAAAGCCGCGATGTCATCGTCGTCAAATGCCGCCAGGACCCTCCTATCGTACCCCTTGTCAGTCCTGTTTTTCCAACTGCGCTTGGCGTGCTCGTAATCAGTCTCGACGAAGCTTAAGTCATGGCGTGGCCAGACCGCAACGGCTTTGGCAATCGCCGCAAGGGCCTTGTGCTCGTCCCATCCGGTGTAGTCGATGCCTGTAGCTTCTGTGGCTTTGGACATGGCTATTGGGACGAAATGTTCGAAGCGCGCAAGGAGTGCTTTGTCTCGAGTGTGATGCGTTGAAAGGCTTCCTTCGCGTGAATCGGGGTAGTCGTCACTGTACTCGTATTAGTGAGCCTGATCGGCTTGGGAAGCAATGGTCGCTTTCATGTCAGTGTCTGCGGTCTCTGTCTTGATGAAAGGCATAAGCTCGGCATTTGAAACATCAAGTGCGGCTTCGATGTCAGTATCTTCGGTCTCCGCCTTGATGAAAGGCAAAAGCTCGGCATCCGACGCATCAAGTGCAGCTTCGAGAGGACCGTATAGCGCATCCAACCCGGACACGAAGTCATTGAATGCCAAGCTTTGCTCCTTGAGAGGAGATCGCGCGAAAGCCATCATGTCTGACGTAGAGCGAGAGCTTGATGGTGGCGTTGAGCAAGATTTCATTGTTCTCATCCAAAAAGGTAACATCGACTAGCGCTCTTGGCGCGCAAACAGAGCTGTTCAAGATTTCCCATCCGTTGCCATGAACACAACGATCACGTGATTACGCGGGACGCTAAGCGCACAGTCCACGCCTTCCTACTTTGCTGCCCCCGCGATGACAGTCTTGCTCGTCTTTTTTTCCAGTGATCAAAAAGTGAGTGAAGAAGTGCTATTGTTGCGGCGTTTTACTGACAAATAGCAGATGTATCTACAAAGACATGATGATCCTCAATTCCAGTACCAATATCCCATTGGACCACTGCCTCAACACCCACCTGTGAACTACACAGTCCCACAACCTCGACAGGATATACCACTCCGGCAGTATCCGCTGCATCCGCTGCAAAGTCTACCTCAACAACCACAATACACACCACTGCGACAGTGTCATGCGGCACCTCAACATGCTCCAGCACTTCAACAACACTATGTGTCGCAGCCACACTACCCTGCGCCACTACTGGAGAGCTTTACGCCGCCAACAAACTCCTATGCGCCATCGACACAGTATTATTCACACCAACCGCAGTTCTTTCCGCCAGCGCAGAGTAATCTACCACCTGAACGACACGCGTCGCTACCACACCATCTTTATATCCCACCAGTGCAACGTGCTGTGCCTCCACCTCAGTGCGAACCACCGCAACCGTACAACCCTGTCCCACAACAGCAGCACTATACACCCCAGCAATCATACTATCAAGCACCCCAGCAATGCGTCCCACCGCCTCAACCGGCCTACCCGCAACAATCGCGGCTTCATCACAATGTGCCGCATGTCGAACCAGTACACGTGCTAACTCAGGCCGCGCCACTCCATGATATCGTGAAGCCGCCACTCACACAATGTGCGCCAATCTGCCAAACAGAATGCGGCTTGCAATCTCAAGGAGGTCCACCCGCATCGTTTCAACAGCCGCGGTTCTCTCAACAAATCTCTGGCGCACCGGCAGTCTCAAATGAATACGCGTATCATCCACCACAGCCGCGAACTCCCAATGCTCTAGTAGTACCAAGATCGTCGGCAGCCGAGTACCAATCGATGATATCGCAGATTTCCAATTTGGATATGAGCTCGAACGATCAGATCGCTACCGAGGTCCAACGGGGAGAGATATGCAGCAGCCCACCAATACTGCCAGTCCGTATCGCACCCGAACAGACTCGTGCCGGTAATGCGCCTACAAGTACAGTCGAAGCATCGAGGACATCCACGCCAAAGACAACTTCAGAAGATTTGGCGTTAAACGAGGATGACAGTCGCTGTCCATATGTTTCAGAAGTCTCTTTCGGAAGTCTTCTATACAAGGATCAAATTCTTTTGGGAGTTCTACAATGGGAGGCATCGATGGCCGCTCAAGCGCGAGCACAGAAGGTTGCCCAAGCGAAAATCAGCTCAACTGGTAAACTCGGCAGGCTGCCTCCTCCCGGAGATGAGTACTTTGATACAGTTCCTTGGACAACGTCACATCGGCCAGTGATGCCACATCACGTTTACCCCAAGAACAGAGACGGATCGCGCAATTCCGGATTGCTTTGGCCCGCGCGGTACCTTTGTAGCAAGTCCAACCAGTTGGGGCTTTGTTGGTATACATTCGGCACCCCGGGTAGCTGCCACCTTGGTGCCTCCTGCCGATGGGACCACAGTTTACCATGGACAACTCTCGAATTTCTCATAACCAGAGGGCGAGTCTCTGTGCAGCTTGCTCGCCAACTCATGGCAAATTGGAACACAAATGAACATTCAGATCTACACCCAATGGTCATATCCCGCATGAAAGCAATTACATTAGGTCTTGGTGAGCGCCTTGAACCAAAAGTACTACCCAGTCAACGTGCAAACTCACGGTCATGGGACGATACCCGCTGAGCATTAGCTCTCGTGCAACAAGGTCCTCCTTTTCTCTTCATGCTGACCTGATCTCGCCATATCGCTAGACTGTTAAACCCCCGTCTCGTCACGTTTGTTTTCTCGCTTCTGCAATCTGCGCTCTTTCATGCACTCGCATTATATTATGGCCGTACTGTTCCAGTACGGTGTTTTCGTATCCTCATCTGTGGTCAGATTCAGTCTGATGATGTTCTTGGGCTATACGCAATTGCGTATAGCTGTTTAGGTCTCTGGTAAGCAAAGCTGCTTACCGTGTGTTGCCATTCGGCTGTACGGGTATGGTATTACTCGTGATTTTACTGTTCTTTGACCCTGGCTATACCTCAAGGTATGGTGTTGCTTGACCTTCCATTCTCCTGGCTATACAATAACGCATAGTGTTTGTTTGATATCCTGACGGCGTGCGACATCTCCGCGCTTTTGCCATCGACTGCCATGCAAAAGGGTGACAGAGGTTGAACCGCACTTTCTGTGACAGGAAGAGGCTTAGAAGGATGGCCCGTGTTCTGTTTAATGCTGGGTTGAGTTCGTTACGTGGTAGCATTGTCGCTAGGTGGGCGTGTATTCGCCGGAGCTTATGTTCACTTCATTGCAGTTCCCTGCAGTTCAATCAAGGTCTCATTAGCTCTTACTACGCGATCTCATCCTGAGTTCAGTCTTAAAGCACTATTAAGACTTGTGAAACTATTGTTCACAGCTCTTTCATTATGTAATTCCTCGCGTGTGAACTCAATCGTCGCGTCGACAGCACTTGACGCTACGTATGTCGATGGAGAACACGGAGCTATCACGGTACGCACAATATGAGATGCAGTATAAACTGACGAAGAGTCTACTTAGCTAGCTTCTGGGTAGCTGGCTCATCATCATGGGATGGTCCAAACGGGCATGGTGACGCGCCACGCTAAGCGCACGGTTCTCGCACAGTCAGTAAACGCTCGTCGAGCTTACTACTTTACTCTTTACTCACACAAGAATACGAAATACACAATGACCCATAAGAGAAGACACGAATTTAACTTCAACAAAAAGAATCGCAAGCTCTCGAACAGCATCAAAGACGCAGATTGCGATGTCAAAATCAACCTCAACAAACCAGAACAATACCCCGATCACTTCGAAAAGCGAGGTCAGAAACTTGCACCACCAGCTTCAAGAGACACGCTAATATTTTACTGGATGCAGGGACATCAACAGGCCATGACGACGATTCCTACGATGACCAATACCTGCCAGAAGACATCGATTCTATCTATCCCGATGACGACAATACCCTCTTGTACGATAGCAACGGCGACTGCTATCATTACGAGGCTGTTATGCCAAGCTCCAATACAGCAGATCTCGATACCCACCCAGTACCTATCGAGACTCAGCATGTCATCTCCGCCAGAACCGCAGCAGAGGTGATTGAAGTAAAGCTAGAGGAAGAGATCGAGACGCTTGAGATCCTTCACTCAGCATCATGGATCGAAGGGAAAGAAAAGGCAAAAGGCACTTGCAACATAGTATCGCTCCAGTCACCACCATGGACTACAAAGCTTCCTGCGAAGAATCCAGAGCATGACTACGGTATCACATCCGGAGGCTTCCCACGGCACGGCCGACTCTCGCCTTGGCTCTACCTTTGCGATCACACCTGCGATCTGGGCTTATGCGACATCACCTTCCGCTTACCCTATACTTGTCCGCTCGGTTCAGGCTGTCGATGGAGACACGAAATTCTCTGGGACGAGCTGAGCTTCCTCATCACCAGCGGTCGACTCACCCTCCGACGCGCTCGTATCATGCTCGCGAACTGGCAGTCATCTGCGTCGTTGGGCGATGACGTTGACGCTTGGCACCGCATGAACGCCATAATCGACCGTCTGAAGTACCTCGAGGCGCCAGCTGTACTCAAATACACGTATCCGTATCTGTTCCCCGTTCGCGACTCTCACGCTCTCTTCGAGAGACTGAGCGACTGATAGCGCGTTGGAGGATAGGCCACAACAAACTCATTCAGAATGCAGCGCAAAGCTCTTTCTCTCATTACATATGATGCCTGGCTGGCAAGCAGCGCACCCAATCACTGTTCGCTTGCTGAACGCCGCACTTGGGGACACTGGACATGAAACCTCCTCGCGCCGAGACGCCGGAAGAACTTGTCCGTTCCGGTAGCCTTTGGTGGCGGCCTCTCCCGCCTGCCATGCTACCAGCTTCTTACGCAGTCGTTGCTCTGCATCTTTACTTCCGCAACAAGCGTAGCTCATTCCAAGCCCGCGAGATCTTTGCTCACCGCTATGATATTTGGGTGTGTGAAAGTCGTCATCGTGGGATCTGGTGCTGTCTTAATCGCTTTGGGCGTCTGATAGTTGCCTTGGTCATGCGATACACCAACTATAGAGCCATCGCCTGATACGTATCGGTCTTGCGCTTTGTCACTTGTGGACGAAGCCGTTGCCCGATGCCAATCGGCCTAGCGCTCTACTTCAGTGTCAAGTCGATCTGCTGTGCTTGCATGGCCTGATCGTAGACACATTAGTTGATGGGGGAAAGATGTGAGGGTGTACGACTAGAATGGTTACAAAATCATCGCCGTGCAGCGTATGCGAAGATCGCCACATCATGTAAAGTACACCAGTAGCAATGCCACACCTCGTGCATTCTACATCTTCTTTCAGTATGTATTTCGCATTGTGCTATCTGTCTTGTGAGTCGTACACAGCCCCTACCAGCGCCACACAATCATACCATTCCGATCTTCACACGCGTTCGGCATCGTCACCGCCAACATCTGTGATGTGGAACAGCAACATGACATCCCACTTCTCCTTGAAGATAGTAACCTTATCGACAGTCTTGTGACCCAGTCCCTTCCTATGCTGTATGAGGAGGTAAGCGACCCCGGAACCATTCGGTGAGCCTAATAATGCATTGAACTCCACTGAGCCTGCGCCGTATGTTGTCCCCGGCCATTCTTTTACAACGAGTCTGCCCTGTAACATTAGATAGGTAACGGCGGAGCGCGTGACATCGTTGAGGACGTTGTGTCGAAGTACGTAACGTAGGTTTGACTTCTCGTTGGCTTTCGACAGCCATTGGAGATACGCTACATCCGACCAGTGTTTCAATTTCGGTATAACTGAGTAGCATCGTTCGCACTCTTCAACCATGGCTCGGGCTGTGTAGTTGTCATACGCCACTATAATTCCATCCGAGGGGTTGATGACTTGGCAAAACAACGCTTCCGTTGCTGCACAGCCTTGACCACCCACCGCTTTCGGGTCCTCGCGTTGGTGGCCGACGCAAAAATTGGGTCCTTCATTCTCATCAAACTCCCCATTTAGTCCAATGAGCCACAGAATGTCGCAGAACCATTCCTTTGCGGTATCTGGGTACGTAAATTCGTCCTCTTCGTACCCCCATTCTTGGAGATCCTGCACAGCTGTGAATACACTTTCAGTCGATTCTGATGGGTCTGCGATCATCAGTTTAGATAGCTGGGCGCCTTTTACAACCAGCCTCTCGAACTTTTGGCTGACGCGCCACCAATCAACTTGCTTCGCATCGTTCGAGCTACCCGTGTCTACTTTTAGCGACACCGCAAGCTCCTCAAACGGTGATAAGTTTGGATGCGCGGCTGGAGCTGGGCTCAAATCTTCCACCGGACGGGTTTGAGGATTTGACGTCATCTTTTGAAGGAGTCTGTGAAACATGTCGGGATGAGACTGAGGTGGCGCTCGGGTGTAGTGAGTAGAACTGGCATACTGGAGCGATTGTATACCAAGTGGACGCTGTGACGAGCGACATTGTTCACAAACAGCTATGAAATACGTGTTGTCAACATAGTCAGTACATGAGACTCACCGTAAACCACCGACTCTGTACTCTACGCATTTCACGGGCGCGAATGGATTGGAAAACGACATGCGTTTGCATCTTTCCCCATCTCTTCCCGCTGGCTGCATAGCGCGTGTTCAGTTCGGTCTGGATAAATGGTATTGACATTCAAGCGACGCACGTTGTTGTCTCGAAGCTCTTCCGGTTTTGACTAAAGATTCCGGTGATGGAAGTGCTGTCGTGGAGAGGTCTGATCGCGCACGTCGTGCCGGGACTCTTCCTACACGCAAAGTGGTGTTGAGGATCAACTGAGCCACTGCGCAGTGTCGCATTCGGCTGATGGTAATGATCTATGATAGGAAGTAGTCGTTCCAGCTTGCTTGACGGATGATCTCAAATCTGCGTGTCATCGAAGTTTCGGGGTCGGAAGTGCCGACGCCATGCCCTGGAAGGGACTAGGCGCACTCAGACCAAGGTTGCCATCTTCCCGATGTTCCGACGACACGTCTTCATCACCCTTCTCCTTCCTCAAATCTTGCGCATCGTCACCTTTCACCGCCGTATTTGGGCGCAGCCAATCCATAGATCAGGGCGCTTACTGAATTGTTACGGTGAGTTGCGTAGTCATACTATCTTCTTTGAGGTGGGGCAACGGCAGCGGTGCGGTTATAATGGGATAGATTCTACTAATTGTCATCGAGAAAACAAGAAGAGGCGCTGCCGGGAAGCCCGTAGAACGGCATCGCAGCAGCGACCTCGTGGGCTATTAGCTGGGTGGGTGACCACTAGCGAACGCTCAATTGTGAGTACTTCGATTTTTGCTCTTTTTTGCCCTTCCTTCCTCTTTTTGCTCCTTCATTCCCCTTGTGCCAATCACAGCGAGCTATACTTCAATGTATTTTCACTGATCTCGGTCACTTTTTCGCGTATGCCTGGAGCTATACGTCTGCGTAGAGGATGCATCTCGCGACATTATACGATGTCTTTCCTACTACATATCTCTAGTACTATCAAGGCCAACTCCGAGTTCTACTACTGTATACCTCAAACGTCCATTAGTCCTCAATCTCGTACTCGCGTCTCTCGACGTATGCATCAACGCCTCGCGCGCTTACTCGGTCCCAGCGCCGATCGCGCGATGTCTGCCGCGTTCTCCAATTCACTAATCCGATCATCTTTCTCGTCCATCCACCTCCTGTGGTCTTCGTCCTTCATTCCGATCATAGCTTTCACCTCTTCAAGCTCTTTGCCTTGATCTGCTAGCCTTTTTTCTAGCTCTGCCACCTTCGCATCCCTCTCAGCGATCATTCCACGCAGCTGCTCAACCATCGTCGGCGGCAACGCCTGGTTCTCCGCCACGATCTCCTCGTCCACAACCTCTTGTATAGCCCAGGGTAGCTCTTCCTGCTCCTGTTCGATGCTGACTACGGCCGCTGTATGCGGCTTCGCGATGTTCGGAAGCGAGGAATCGACGGATGCAGTACCCGTAGTCGGCAAGGCAGTCGCCAGAACGGGCGCTGTTTCCGTCTCGTTGACTGTCTCTGCGTGCGTTGTAATCAGCTTCGCTTGAGCCTTACTCGTCCCAGCTGCCCTCGCCGGAATTGTGGCCTTCCTGAATAGTGGTTCCGGGTGATCTCGACCCTCGTAGAACTCTCGTACCAGCGGATGATCCATGTTCGGACGGATGGGCCAGGCCTTGTTCTCCTGGAGATGGATGATGCCGGCGAGAACGAGATAAGCCTGCTCAGCAGCCTCAGGACGGAGCTGATAGCCATGCGGAGGCATGTGTCCAAGTAGTTCCCAAAGTGTCATCGGCATGTACGGAGCATGACATCCACTTCCAACATGATCACCAGTCCGACATAGCGCGCACTCCTGACGGCAATCGCGGAGGCTATTGACGTGCTTCTGTTTCCAGCAGGACATGCACTTGTTCGATTTGTTCATGAGATTCTTGCCGAACACCTTTTCGAACTGCATCATGTCGTAGTAAGGACCGGCCGGGGGTAGGTAATCCTGGATCGAACGAGACAAGACCTCGACAGGTTGGATGCGCGACTTCTCCACTCGTCCAGATCCGTCGCGGTTGATCTCCATGACGATGTTCGAGCTCGCCAACTCGTCGACGTTAGGCAACCGATCTATCAAACGTTATCAGCTAGGTACGACTTGCTAAATACTGCTGTGTCACGTACAATTGTACTTTTCGTATGAGCCGTAGCCGGTCGCAGATCGTGCGGCGGGCGCCTTTTTCGCATGCATCGCCTGGCTCAACAGATGGAACGACATCCTGGCGGGTTGTGTAGACTGTTCAATGGATTGGTCGGAAGGAAGGCGCCGTGAAGCGTGTGGAAGTTGCGCGAAAGACTGGCGGCGAGAGGACACTGGTGCGCTATCGTTGAGCGTCAAAAGCTTTTGCACCGTGCGAAAAGGTCTGCGTTAGCGAGCGCGCCCTTTCACCGCGTCATGGTTTTTGATAGAGCGCTCTTTCACTCTTTTTGAACGTCGAGAAAAGTGACCGCGGGTGTCATGTCATAGTCAGCCAGACAGAGCAGCAGACAGACGTCAGTGCGATCAGGTACCCGTAGGAGCTAGCCCCTGTCCAGACCGTCTGGTTCCTCAGTTCAACACCGCTCTTTATTGAGACCACGCTACGATATATCAATATGTGACATTCATACATCGAGGCAACCACGCGCGGGTGTAGTCATCTTACACGTGTCTCTTTCACTGTCCCACTATACTTTGAAAATGTCAGGGAAGCAAGTCATGATCACCATTGACCACGGGATTGATATGGGGGATGAATACGTTCTCACATAGCCTCAGTCGCTCGATATGCTGCCATCCCGGGCCTTTGCAATCTCTCCGCAGACCTGTGTGTCAGCCGTACACACAATGGGCGGAACAGCTAGCTTTGAACATATCACATGAGTTGGATCAATGATAACGCAAGGTGTGAACACATAAGAGAATGATATAGGTGATAGGAACGACAAAGTTCCATTGTTGGTTCTTACTCCCTCATTCTTTCTCACATCAGCCTGCGAAAGCCGGTTCCCCTGAGGTCACACAACAGGGCGACGGCGGATCAGCGCAGTACGTGGTAGAAGCTGCCTTGCGGTTGCCGAACGCGGGATGAGAAGCAACGATAAGGACTCACAGCGAAAAAATCACAGTTGAAACATGATGTGGTTTTAAAGCATTCCGCCGCACCGTACCGACCTGTGCCGCTGGTAGCCTTCCAGCTCATGAGCGAATGGAACGAGTACAACGACAGCAGGGCTGAGCTAGCATGTACGTAATGGCTTTGTGGCGCCGATCCGAACCGGCGGGCTGATTCTGAGACGTCCAGTAAGCTTTCGAAGGTCGTCCTTCTCCGTCGTCCTCATCCACCAAAGTTGCTTTGGCATCCACGATAACCCAATATTGATACCTAGGTTGTTATAGCACGCGATCAAGACAGTCCGTATATGGACTCAATAATATGGAGAAAGTCATCACAGCCGAGAAGCTGACGCGCATTATCCTTACGTTGTCATTGTTCTCTGCCGGCTCCGTACCCGAACGTTGTCACTGAGGGGACTTCCGAACGAAACAATCCACGCGTTGTCACAGGGCTGATTCGACTGTCGGTAGCCAGCGATCTGAGTTCCAGGACGCATTGAGAATTCGTCAGCCTGACAGCGATTGGTGCACATGATAAGCCACCGGCGCCTCCATTTACACCGCTCGACGAAGTACTCTGCATGAATTCTGTTGTGTGACAATGGCCATCACACCTTGCTTGACCTTTTCAGCCCATTCGCGTACTTTATCTTCCGGTTCGTTGAATTTGGTTGTTGAGCTACGCATTTTCAGGACATTGTCGAATCAGACAGTGGACCGTTCAGCCACAACCGCAACTGCGCCCCCGTCGATAAGAGGAGGACTCGACATCACATGACGCCATCACCGTGCAATTATCAAGGTTGGAACCCCCCAGTCTCTATTCGTAAACCAGTCGCCGGCGGCCTTTATTTACTGGACAACAACGCACCACGTCTTTTGCAGTGCTAACCCGCAAGAAGGCGAAGTCACGATCACGACTCTCTGACCAATCCGGACTCTATCCATAATGGCCGGCGGGGAAATCGGAGATTTTGTAGACCTAATGCTTCCAGTCTTGCGCCTTCAGAGATTCCAATGCAGCTCTCCTAATGAATCAAAATGGCTCAAACCCCCACACACCCATGCCCTTCATACTCCCACCCTCTACAATTTGAAACCATCACTTCTTACATCCCCTGAAAGATAATGCCTACGCTATCAAGTGAAGCCATCATTGCATTAGCCGCTCTCTTCATTGCTCTCTCTCCTTCACTTGCTGTCATCTATCATCTCAGGCGTCGCAACCGTGACAACCGCAGCAACCGTCACGAAGACCAGGGTACGCTTGTGATATTAGTCTAATCCTCGAACACCTCGCTGACTCCCGTATAGATGTCGAACTCGCCACTCGCTTCAACGTAAACATGCAGATAGTTCGGCATGTGAAGGACACCGTCCTCCGACCGGTGATCGCACATCTCTCTACGCGATGATCG